TGGGGCAATCTACTTCCGCAGCGATACTGCCTCGAAAACCCAAGGAGTGGTCGCTATGAGTCAGGTCCAATTCAACAGCACACAACAACAACAACAAGAGTTGGGGTATGGTTGTTACAGAACCATACATTCCTTGTGAAAGATTCATCAGAGTTAATCCTATCCTATGACATTTGCTAAAAATTTGAAGGAAAATTTTTCTGTCTTTGCTAGAGTTGAAATACAGGCATACCTCAGAGATACTGTGGGTTTGGTTCCAGACCACTGTAATAAAGTGAATATTGCACAAAGTAGGTCACATGAAATTTTGGTTTCCTAGTGCATATAAACCTACCAGCCAAGCTTCGGAAGGAAGATAGGGCAATCTACTTCCATAGTGATACTGCCCCGAAACCCAAGGAGGTGTCGCTATGAGTCAAGTCCGACTCAATGGTACATAACAACAACAGTGCTTATAAAAGTTATGCTTATACTATACTGTAGTCTATTAAGTGTGCAACAGTATTATGAAAAAGTTTAAAATTTGTAAGAATTGCCAAAATGTGTCAGAGACACAAAGTAAACACATAGTGTTGGGAAAAAATGGCACCAATAGACTGCGGCAATGCAGAGTTGCCACAAACCTTCAATTTGTAAAAAATGTACTATCTGTGAAGCTACATAAAGCTAAGCACAATAAACAAGGTATGTGTATATATAGGTGGTGAGTCTGCTGGGAATTGGAGCATCAGATTGAAAAGCAGAGGCAAGAGTTTGAGAAAAACAGCCTCTTGATGGTACATTTAAGAAACTGGTTCCATAGGTATGTCTTGGCAGGGGGGAGTGTGCCCATGACCATGTATAGGGTTGGCAGACAATGTTTCTACAAGCATATTTGTACATGCTGTAAGAATGTCCAGGTATATAGTACAACTGACAAGGGACAAGGTTGTACTGGCTTCTTGGCCACAGTCAGCTACCCTGAGGGAGCAAGTAGTTGGACCTGCAGACTCGGGATCATGGACTAAGGGTACACCAAGTTCGATTGTCATAACATACTACACAAAAACACTGTTCTACATTCTACTTTGGTGAGTGGTGATGTTGTGACCAGTTCTTGAATCCCCAAAGACCACCAAGGAGCCAATTCCACTGCAAAAGCATAGGGGTTGTTTATTCAAGCTCAAGCTCAGACCCTCAACCATCACCAATACACGGTTCAGGATTGAGAGCCCTGAACTCAGGGGTAATGGGGTTTTTATAGGGGGTACAGCAGGAAGGAGGAAGTTTCAATCAGAAAATTACAGGATTGGTTGACATTTTCCAAGTTGCTAGTTGCTCCTACTTGATTGGCTCTGTCTGGTGGGCCGAAGCCACCAATTGTCATTTCTAACTATTTTAGGTAAGATATTTCCCTATCACTTACTGATTGCTTGTTGCTAAGGAGAATGAGGTGGGGGTAGTTAGGACTTTATGTGGTTTTTCCAGTAATTAAAGCACTAAAGCATAGAGTATGTGCTAAGGCATATTGCAAAAATGGCTACATACATACAGGGTGGTTATATAGAAACATGGTCTCACATTCCTCCCTTTCTCTTGGCACTAAACTCAATCATGAGTTTCTTAAGTGTTATTATATATTGGGTTACAATGTACTGTACTAACACCTGAATCGTCTTGGTGAAGTAGTTGATATTGTTGCCTGAGGACCATGAGTTGTACAGAGTTTACTCTATCTCTTATAAAGTTGACTAATCTGTTTAGAATACAAGGTCCAACTGTTAGTAAAATTAGTCCTATAATGACTCGTCCTGTGAGAGCAGATATCAGAGATGTTAGCCAAGGAGAAGAATTAAATCAATTTTCATACCATCCCTGGTTTTGGGCACACTCTCTTTTCCTTTTTTCTAGTCCTTCTCTTATTTTAGCCATAGAGTCTCTTATGACTCCTGAGTGGTCTACATAATAACAACATTCTTCTCCTAGAGCGGCACAAACTCCTCTTTGTTGGAAAAGGATGCCCATACCTCTTTTTAATTGTAAAGTCATTTCTGCTAGCGAGGTTAAGGATTCTTGGAGTTTGGTAATGGATTCTTCTAATCTTTCTGTATCCTGATCAATTGCCACTCTAAGTGAGTTATATTGCTGATGCTGGGTTGTGATAGAAGCAATTCCTGTTCCAGCTCGCGCCAGTCCTAGTCCTAGTAGAACAGTTAAAGTTATAGCAGAAATTGGTTCCCGTTTGACCCGGTAAGGAACAGTTTCCCATTTATCTAGGAAATCATCGTACTGGTGGTATAATACATGAGGTACCAAGTAGACTAATATACAAAAGTCTTTAGTTTAATTAAGAACCTGCCCATGGAGGCAAGGGGATAATCCTGAAGAACATGCCCACCATCCGTTAGGAGATGGTATGTAGTATACAGTTTGATATATAGTTGTTTCAGTGTGGTTGCAGAGGTGTTTGTGGTAAGGTTAGTTGTCCAGGTTTCTTATGATTCCATCTACAGATTTTGTGAGTTTCTGACTGGTTGAATTTCCCTATAAATGCAATACCTTCATAATAGGGGGGTTTGATATCATAGCACAGCCAGCAAGATTCTGTCAAATTATATTGGGTTAGATTCAATAGTTGGAAAGTCTGGACCATAATTTTCCAAAGGGGGTCTTCCTGTAAATTCTGAACAGATGTGTTGCCCCTTGAAGGGGTGACATGGGGAGACAAATTTTGGACTGATGTGTTGCCCCGATTATTGGAGGGTAAAGAGGGTACTGATTGTGGGGCTAACACTGAGTTGGGCCCAATTGCAACAGGGGGTGTCCAGGATTCAATTTTTAGTCTAATATTAAAAATGACTCCATTGCCGTACCCTGTTTGGTACAATTGAAGCCCCCAGGATCAGCCTGTCACCCAGGTTTTATACTGTTTTCCCTGCTCTGTAAATCGGATTCTAATAGGATTACAGGTGAAATTCATACATGGACCATTTCCTATATACGATTGGCAAGAATTGATGGTTAATCCATCACTGGAATGATTCCTGTCTACTGTGATGAGATCCCAAGTTGAGGAAGGTTTCCAGAAAGTGGTTCCCATCGTTTCACATCCCCACACTTTGCAATAAAAGTCTGGTACCCCCCCACACTGGTTTGCTAAGGCTCTGTCTCTTCCTCTCCCTGGGCAAACATAAAATGGTAACTTACAGAGTTACTGGCGGAGTTCGGGGTGCCCACAACCTATTCCCCAGCCATTGATTCCCCCAGAAGCACATGACCACTGACATGTGGGTTTACCTGAACATTCAGGAGTACCGTTTTTGTTGGGTTCCCAATCAAAGATGTCCCAGGATCCAGCTGCTAATTGGCATAAGTCAAAGTGTAGGTCAGGCCACCAGGTATTAGGGGGATGGTTGCCCATGATAGAACTGACAACATCCCCTGTGGCTGACGTGATTATCCAGGTTAACTGTTGAGGTGTGTGTAGGCTAGACAAGGGATTTACATAGTTACCAGTTATTAACAGTAATACTTGTTGTTGTTATGTGCTGTCAAGTCAGACCTGACTCATAGTGACCTCTCCTTAGGTTTCTGAGGCAGTATCACTACGGAAGTAGATTGCCCCATCTTCCTTCCAAGGAGTGGCTGGTGGGTTTGAACCACCAGCCTTCTGGTTAGCAGTCAAGTGCCTTAGCCACTATGCCACCAGAACTCCCTAATACTGTTGTTGTTGTTGTTGTTATGTGCCGTCGAGTCAAACCTGACTCATAGCGACCCCTCCTTGGGTTTCCGAGGCGGTATCACTACGGAAGTAGGATTGCCCAACCTTCCTTCCGAGGAGTGGCTGGTGGGTTTGAACCACCAGCCTTCTGGTTAGCAGTCAAGTGCCTTAGCCACTATGCCACCAGAACTCCCTAATACTAGTAAGGTCCATATCTCTGGAGTTTTAGTTTGAGTGGATTGTTGGGGTCCTTGGAGATGTACCATGGTGGGTCCTGGTCAGGATCGGCTTCGCGGACGTGAGTGTCATGAATCCAGGAGGTTATTTTGTCAACTTTAAGGGCAGTGGGTGTTGTCAGGATCATGATGTAGGGTCCTTTCCAGCGAGTTTATAGAGTCTCTTGTCAATGTCTCTGCACATACACCCAATCACCTGGCTGGTACTGGTGAGGTTCGGGAGGGGGATTAGATTGGTAGAGGGCCCTTAAGTTCTGCCAGATGTCCTGCTGGGTTTGTTGCAGAGCTTGAAGAGAATAAATGAGTTCATAATTACCAATTTCACATAACAAATCAGACTGGAATCTGGAGTAATAGGTGGAGGTCTACTAAAGACAATTTCAAAAGGTGTCAATCCTAATTTATAAGGAGAGTTACAGACCCAAAATAGGGCGAAGGGGAGGAGAGTCACCCAGTCTCTGTCAGTCTCTATGGTTAATTTGGTTAAGGTCTCTTTTAGAGTTCTGTTCATTCTTTCTACATGGCCTGAACTTTGGGGTCTGTAAGCACAATGTAATTTCCAATTAGCCCCAAAAATAGTTGTTAAACTCTGTATTACCTTAGATACAAATGAGGGTCCATTATCTGACCCTATTGTAGTAGGAAAACCATACCTGGGTAGGACGTCTTCTAGTAGTTTCTTGGCTACAACATGGGCCATTTCTCTCTCTTGGTGGGGAAGGCTTCCACCCACCCTGAAAAGGTATCTATAAAGACTAACAGATATTTATATCCGTATTTCCCTGGTTTCACCTCCTGTAGTCCACTTCCCAGCAAGTTCCTGGTATGTTGCCTTTTGATCTGGAGCCTAGATTCGGAGGGTTTTTAGTAACATTGGTTAATTGACAGGCTTTATAGTCAGAAACGATTGCTTCAATTTTAGATTGAGCATTTTGAATTATTACATCAGCCTGTTTTAATAATTCCTGCATCTTTTTAGTTCCTACATGGGTGGTCTGATGTATTTTGAATAAAATTTCTTCTCCCAGTTTTTCAGGGAGGATGGCTTTGTGATCTGCTGATTTTCACCAGTTGCATATGTACTGAGTTCCAGGTAGTTGTTTAATCCATTTCAAATCTTCTTCAGTGTAGTTGGGGTTCGTTGGTAAGGCAGGGCTCCCAGGATCAGGTAGGTTGGAGGTTAATACCAGGTTGGTAGACAGTGCAATTTCTTGGGAAGTTTGGTCTGCTAAATTATTGCCTCGGGCAACTGGAGAGGTAGTCTTCTGGTGTCCCATACAATGAATGATGACAAGTTTCTTTGGGAGCCATAGGGCAGCTAGTAGATTTAGAATCTCGTTTTTATTTTTAATTGTCTTTCCTTCTGCGATTAATAGCTCCCTTTCCAGATAAATTGCCCCATGAATATGTGCCGTGGCAAAAGCATAACGACTGTCTGTATAAATATTTAACTTTTTGTCTTTTCCTAAAGTTAGGGCTTTGGTCAATGCTATCAGTTCAGCTCGTTGAGCTGATGTTCCAGCTGGTAATGGTTCAGCCGAAACTATTGTAGTTTCCGTCACCACTGATGCCCCTGCATACCTTTGTCCATTATGTACAAAGCTTCTCCCATCCGTATACCAGGTGACGTTGGCATCCGGCAAGGGTTTGTGTCGTAGGTCAGCTCGGCTTCCGTGCGCTTGAGCCAGAATGTTGATGCTATCATTGAATGGAGCACCCAAATCCAGATCCGGTAACAGGGTGGCAGGGTTCAGTGCCGTAGGTGACTGGAAGATACTCTTAGTTGAGTTCAGTAACAGTCCTTAGTAGTGGGTGAGCCGTGCATTGCTAAGCCATTGATCAGGAGATTGCTTAAGAGTTCCTTCTATGGCATGCGGGGTGGTGATATACAGTCCTTGTCCCGGTGTAAGTTTGCCCGCATCTTTGACTAGTAATGCCATTGCTGCTATTATGCATAAGCACAGGGGCCACCCCACCACCACTGAGCCTAATTTCTTTGAGAGATAGGCTACTGGTCTTTTCCAGGGGCCTACGTGTTGGATTAGAACTCCCTTCGCTATCCCCTTATTTTCATCTATGTATAGATGGAAGGGTTTTGTCACATCAGGCAGTCCAAGGGCAGGAGGGGACAAAAGGGCATTCTTAAGTGAATTAAAGGATTTTTCCATGGCCTCTGTCCACTGAAACTTCTGCCCCTCCTTGGTTGCTTCATAGAGAGGTTTTGCTAATTCCGCAAAACCTGGTATCCAGAGTCTACAGGAGCCGGCTGATCCTAGGAACTCCTGCACCCCGCGTGGGGTGTTGGGTCTAGGGATTTTTAGCACAGTCTCCTTGCGGGCCCTAGTCAGCCATCTTTGTTCCTCTCTTAACATATACCCCAAATAGCTCACCTCGGGTTGGCAAAGTTGAGCTTTTTTGGCTGAGGCTCTGTAACCCATGTCTCCTAATGTCCGGAGTAAGTCTCTGGTTCCTTGGAAGCAGGTCTCGTAGTCTGCTGCAGCAATTAGGAGATCATCTACATATTGTAACAGCGTGAGACTGGGGTGGTCAGATCGGAATTTACCCAGGTCTTCATGTAGCGCCTCCTCGAAGATTGTAGGCGAATTTTTGAACCCTTGGGGTAATCGCGTCCAGGTTAGTTGTCCATTAATGCCTTCCGTGGGATCTGTCCATTCAAAGGCAAACAAATCCTGGCTCTTTGGGGCTAATGGTAAGCTAAAAAATGCATCTTTTAGGTCCAAGACTGAGTACCATTGGTGATCTGGGGGTAAAGAACTAAAGAGGGTGTATGGGTTAGGAACAGTAGGATGAATGTCTATGACCCATTTATTGACCTCCCGGAGGTCTTGTACCAGTCTATAATCATTGGAATGAGGTTTTCGAACAGGGAGTAGAGGGGTGTTCCAAGCAGACTGACAGGGTCGGAGTATTCCTAATTTTAACAGGCGCCTGATGTGAGGGGTTATGCCTTCCCGGGCTTCTCGTGACATAGGGTACTGACAGACTCTGACCGGGTCCTCTCCAGGTTTAATTTCCCCATAAACTGGTGGCCTATGTTTAGCTAACCCTACACCTCCAGTTTCAGCCCATGCCTTGGGAAAAGCTGATAACCACTGTTTTATATTTTCAGAAGGGGGAGGAGGGGGTTGTTGGTGGAGTCTATATTCATCTTCTAGGTGTACAGTCAACACTTGAATAGTGTCCATATTGGTTGCCCCTCCTTTTTGAAAGTGGATTTGTGCTCCTATCTTGGTTAGTATATCTCTCCCAAGAAGTGGATAGGGGCATTCTGGAATTACCATGAATGAGTGGGATACCCGACCCACACCGAGATCCACTGTTCTTTGGGTAGTCGATGAATATTGATTTGTTCCTGTAGCCCCCTGAACCCAGGAGGTTTTATTAGACAATTTTCCTTGGGGTTTGAGTAAGACTGAATATTGTGCCCTGGTGTCCATCAGGAAATCAATTGGAGTCCCCTCCACTTTAAGGGTTACCCTGGGTTTGGGGAGGGGAACCAAACCCCCGAACCCCTAATCACTGAGTTCCCCCAATTCTAGTACTTTAGTCTGTGGTTTATGAGTTCTTTTATTTGAGCACTCTTTTGCCCAATGTCCGTCTTCCTTGCAATAGGCACACTGATTCTTGCCCAGTTTAGGGCATCCTCCCATGGGGGGGTCCCCCTTACCTCGGTATTTTGCGATTTTCTGCAGTTGTTGTTCTCTTTCTCGGACGCTCCCGGTTGTCGAGGCAAGTAAGATTTTTGCAAAGTTCCGAGTGTTCTGGTCACTGGCTGCCACTAGTGCTTTGGCCTGTCGGTCCTCTGAACTTTCCCTGTAATTATAAACCCTCTCTGCAACTAACATTAAATCCTGAATACTTTTTTCATTTTGTTGTTGTTGTTGTTATGTGCCGTCGAGTTGGCCCCGACTCATAGCGACCCCTCCTTGGGTTTCCGAGGCAGTATCACTACGGAAGTAGGATTGCCCAACCTTCCTTCCGAGGAGTGGCTGGTGGGTTTGAACCGCCAGCCGTCTGGTTAGCAGGCAAGTGTCTTAGCCACTATGCTACCAGAGCTCCTTTTTTCATTTAGTCTGTCAATTTTTTGTAATTTCCTCCTAATGTCTGAGGCTGCTTGATTCACAAAAGCCATGATTAGTGCGGCCTTAGTTTTAGGCGCTTCCGGATTCATGGGGGTATATTGACAAAATGCTGCCATTAATCTTTCTAAGAAACTGGCAGGACTTTCATCCCTCCCTTGCTGTACGTCACCTACCTTAGCCAAATTAGTGGGCTTCCTTGCAGCTGCCCTGAGACCTCCCATTAGAGTCTGACAGTACACCCGGAGTCTCTCCTTACCTTCAGTCATGTTGAAGTCCCAATTAGGATGAGTCAAAGGGAAGGTGGCATTAATCACATCTATATTAGTAGTGGGTTGCCCGTTAATCCCCCAAAACAGATTCCCAGGCTTCCATCTGGATCCTCTCACGTTCCTCAGTGGTGAATAAAATCTGGAGGAGCTGCTGACAATCATCCCAGGTAGGCTGATGAGTAAATAAAATAGTCTCTAGGAGATCGGTTAAATCTCTGGGATTATCTGAGAATTTGGCATTCTGTGTTTTCAATTATACAGGTCACTAGTGGCAAAAGGCCAATAGTGAAGTTGCTGGTTGCCGGTTGCGTCTGCGGGCCCTGAAGCCCACAACTGCAAGACTGTGGAATCTGCTGGTCCACTAGAGGGGGCTGTGCACTGCATTCTTCCACAGGTGCTGGCCACCGGACCTGCTGCTGCTGCCATTGTCCCACCATTGTCCGGCACTTGGGGCAGCGCACCCTCTGCAGCTGCAATACCTACTGAAGGGGTTTGATAAGGGGGGAAAAGGAGTTCTTCCTCCGTTCCACCCTGAAATACTGGGTAGGTTGGCGCCAAAGGTTTAATTTCAGGTTCCTTCTTCTGGGTAGTATGAGTTTGTGCTGCCAGGACAGTCTTAGGTGCCTGCTTAGGAAGAGAAAGAGGTAACAATGGCTTTAACCAGGGAGGTGGATTTTCCACTAAATCCTGCCATGTGATAATATATGACCCCTGATCTGGGTGACCCCCGCTGGACCGGAACACAGCTTCTTTCACCTTTGAAATAATCTGAAGATCAAATGTATCTTCGGCTGGCCACCCCACATTGAACGTTGACCATTGCGAGTTACACAATGCAACAAATTTTCCTTTTTTTATTTCTAAACTTAAGTTATGTGCTCTTTGTGTAACTTCCTTAAAATTATCAGTCAGGAGAGAAAGAGGAGTCGTCACAGTTTATCCCATTTCGTCCATCCACTGATTGAACAAAATTAAGGACACTAACAAAAACCAAACAGACACACAAAAAGACAGACAGAAAATGCCTCCCATGGATTGGAAGCAAAATGGAAAGTAGGACGACAGCCTCATGCTGCGCTGCGGGAGCAACCTGCTTCCTCCCTTTACAAATTCCAGATTGGAGGGTAACTCTGTTTCCTCCCAGGTTGAAGGGGTTTTCTAATCCCCTTCCAGAGGAGGCCTTGGAATGTCTCTCAGGTCCTCCGGCCGATGGCCCACCCGTGCATCCACTTTGGCCAAAGTCAGCTCTGCAGAAAATGGGCCCCAGGTATTACACAAAGGACTTAAACAAACATCAAACATTTAAGCTACACAAAGGACTTAAACAGACATCAAACATTTAAACTACACAAAGGACTTAAACAGACATCAAACATTTAAAACACTTACCAGCCAGCTGCAACCCCCTGGGTCGGGAGTTCTGGGGTATCTGGGGATCCCGGACGAGCCCCCAAATGTGTCCAGTTCTTGAATCCCCAAAGACCACCAAGGAGCCGATTCCACTGCAAGAGCATGTTGTTGTTGTTGTTGTTATTTGCCATCGAGTCGGCCCCAACTCATAGCGACCCTTCCTTAGGTTTCCGAGGCAGTATCACTACAGAAGTAGGATTGCCCAACCTTCCTTCCGAGGAGTGGCTGGTGGGTTTGAACCAACAGCCTTCTGGTTAGCAGTCAAGTGCCTTAGTTTATTCAAGCTTGAGCTCGGACCCTCAACCATCACTGACGCAGTGGTTCAGGATTGAGAGCCCCAAACTCAGGGGTAATGGGGTTTTTATAGGGGGTACAGCAGGAAGGAGGAAGTTTCAATCAGAAAATTACAGGATTGGTTGACATTTCCAAGTTGCTAGTTGTTCCTACTTGATTGGCTCTGTCTGGTGGGCTGAAGCCACCAATTGTCGTTTCTAACTATTTTAGGTAAGGTATTTCCCTATCACTTACTGATTGGTTGTTGCTAAGGAGAATGAGGTGGGGGTAGTTAGGACTCTTTGTGGTTTTTCCAGTAATTAAATCACTAAAGTGTGGAGTACAGTGCTAAGGCATATTGCAAAAATGGCTACATACATACAAGGTGGTTATATAGAAACATGGTCTCACAGTGACTGGGGTCTTAAAAGCTTGCAAGCGGCCATCTAGATGCAACAATGGGTGTCTCCTCATCCAGAGCAAAGAAAAATAAAGAAAAAGAAAAAAAAAAATAAAGGAAATCAAAGACTCATGGAAATAATTAGTCCAATGGGCTAGTACATCATGTGACCCTTAGTCTATATGACCATGAGACCAGAAGAACTAGATAGTGCTCAGGTACCACTATTTATCAATCAGAGGGGAATAGGTAGAGGAGATTCTGGATAGAGTGAGAGAACAATGTAGAACACAACTCAAAATCATAAGAAAAAAGAAAAGAAGAAGACCAAGGTGCTGGTTGATAGAGCCTGGTGAGATTCCTGAGATTACAACTCCTAGTTACTTGTCAGGTGTGGAGTTGAATTCACTGTTGTTGTTTCCAACCAAAGAGACAGGCATATGGGGTGAACATTTACATCAGGTAGATACAATCCTTGTAGCAATAGATCATGGGAGGATGGAAGGGGTGTGCTCTCACAGGGAGACAGCTGTGGGGGAGGCAGGATTGCATGGGAGGGAAGGAGATAGAGAAGAGGTAACTATGGGAAGGAAGTGGGAAAAGATCTGTTACATTGTGGGGAATGGCAGTCAATGTCATGAAGCAAAATGTGTATGAACTGCTGTATGGAAAATGAATTTTCTCTGTAAACTTTCACTCAAATCACGATAAAATTTATAAATAAATAAATAAACAAAAGAACCTGGATCCAACATTGCCTGAACGCCTGGGGTCATTATTTGAACTGTTTTGTTGTTGTTGTTATGTGCCATCAAGTCAGACCTGACTCATAGCAACCTCTCCTTGGGTTTCCATGTCAGTATCACTATGGAAGTAGATTGCCCAACCTTCCTTCCATGGAGTGACTCGTGGATTTGAACCACCAGCCTCCTGGTTAGCAGTCAAATGTCTTAGGCACTACACTACGAGAGCTCCTCTCTTTTGTTATATGAAGCATGTAATTCTCATTTTGGTTTGAGTTGGTCTTCTGTACCTTGAAAATGTAGAGTTCTAGGTAATTAATTGTCCTAATTACACTAAACATTTGCTTCAATAGGTTGCATTTCAATACAATAAAAAGTCATAGTTTTGATGAGATAATAAGAACAATCAATCAAACATTAGAATGAATATCTTTGGCACTGAGTATTTATTAAATGAAAGAACAAATGCCAAATGCCAATGAAATATCAAAATTTAAATAAAACAAACAACAGGATTCTCAAGCATAGTAGATGATAATTACCAGAAATTCTTGAAACTATGGTTCAAAATAATACCACATATATTATAATAATGGAGTTTTGTTTTCCCTAGTTTATTTTACTCAGTTCAGTTTAGTTAACAAATTTACATGAAATATTCTACTTTCCTCACAATAATGATAATGACATTTAAACTGAAGTGGCCAGATTAGTTCTTTTTCAGCTTTTCTCATTTAAGATTCTTCACAGGAGTAGCAATCTTAGGCCTTTTAGGAACTGATTTATCATCCTTTCTTACATGTCAATAGGTTATTCTTGCTGATAGAGGTCTTTCGATTGTTCTCTGCATTTGAATCCAAATAAAGTCAAATAGCTTGTAACAGTGATGGGCTGCTTACAATTTTGTTATGTGTCTGCAAAACACAGACTATCTAGTCAGTGCTTTGGAAATGTCTTTAATTCTATATGTTGGCTTTACATGATTAAAAAAAAAAAAAGCATGTCAAATCTTACCCTACCCAAAGCCAGCAGAATAGATTCTACCTTAATGATAACCAATCAATGTATTAGGGGAAAAGAGACCCCAGATTCAAACAGGTTCAGTAGAGACATTTTTATTAAGGTTTGGGTAGGACAAAGACAATAATCCTGGATGAGGAAAACCATAGTATGTACATAGTATAGAAAGCTGAATGGAGTCCACTGAGTCATGGCCATGGGACTAATTATATATGATTTTTTTTTTTTTTAAAAGGGAAATCATCATCAAATCATGATTGGTGGTAGACAGTATCACCATTGTTGCAGGTAGGACTACAGAAGCAAGGAAAAACCATGATTTTGATTTGAAGATAGGAAAAGTTTACAGGATTGGTTCTAGGCCTTGACAACCTAGGTAGTGTTTGGGAATAGCTATGACACATGACCAGGCAGGCTGAGTTTTAGCCACAAGGTGTCTATCAAACAATACCAAGACCCTATCTTAATTTAAATTAGAAAAGGACTCTCTGAAGCAAGTTCCCTAGTTCTTTGTGGGAGTATAATCTACTTTCAATCACATTCTTCCTGAAGGCAAACTGCCCCTCCCTAGGTTTGTACTAGAACTTGTCTGTGCATAGCCACAATGCTGGTTTAATGGTCTGAAAGAACACAAATGGAATCTGAAATATGTCAAGCCCCAATATGAAGTTAGGGTTCCCACTGTAGACCATAGCCTTCCACAATCTCAACTTCTCATACATCAATCATTAAAGGGAGTCATATTTTTCCAAGTTTTGTCCTAGGGGTTATGGTAAAATATAGGGTTAAAGAGACTTTTTAACACATTGTTGCAGTGCTCAATGGTGTTACAAATTATTGGAAGAGTAGGGTTTTAGAGATCATCTGACATTAGAATTTCCTGACTAATTACAGTTTCTTAATTCTGTGTCTCAAAACTAGTAACTGATGAGCATATTAAGTAACAGAGGAAAAATCTGAGAGTGAATTAAAGTGTGTACAACTGCCTTCCTCAAGCCTGGGAATGAATAATGGAAATTTTCTACATTTTGACACTGCTGCTATATAACCTGGCTAATTGAAGAATGTAGAATAGAATCTTTTATTGTCCCCTCCTGTCCTCTCTCCATCTCTCCCTACTCCGCTTTGTGGTAACTTCCTGTCTTTCCCTCCCTCCCTTTCTGACATCCATCCACCCTTTGATTTAGCTACCCAATGCATTTATTAAGCAATTAAATATTTGCAATATGTCAGGCACTATGATAGGCTTTAAAGCAGCTCTCCTCTGAAGGTTGTTTTTGTTGTTGTTGTTATGTGCCCTCAAGTAGGATCCGACTCATAGCGACCCCTCTTTAGGTTTCCGAGGCAGTATCACTTTGGAAGTAGATTGCCCCATCTTCCTTCTGAGGAGTGGCTGGCGGGTTTGAACTGCCAACCTTCTGGTTAGCAGTGCCTTAGGTTGGGCAATCTGCTTTCATAGTGATACTGCCTGGGAAACCGAAGGAGGGATCGCTATGAGTCGGAGCCAACTCGAGGGCAGCGAGTATGAGTAGGAACTACTCAATGGCAGTGAGTTCGTTTTTTCTGGTTGTTTTTTTTTTTTTTTTTTTAATAGGGTCACTAGGAGTCTGGTAGCGTAGTACCTAAGATATTTGACTGCTAACCAAAAGCCTGGCAGTTAAAACCTTCCTGGGAAGGAAGGTCGTGCAATCTACTTCTGTAGTGATACCGACTCAGATACCCAAGGAGGGGTCGCTATGAGTCAGATCCTACGCCAGGACAGTGAGTTTATTTTATTTTATTTTATTTTATTATGAGTTAGGATCAACTCCATGACAGAGGGTTTGTTTTAGTCTCACACAGGAAAGTTAGAATACCCTCTAGCCCCCTGGGTATCTCAGCTTCTCTGGCAGGAATCTTATTCATAATGTCTCCTGCACAAGCACAGTGCTCTCATATAAAGGAATATGTGGAATATACTTTTCTTCATTGGGTGGCTCATGAAGGCGATACGTGGAGGAACAGCACCACTCAAAGCAATAATCCACAGACAGTTTCACCACAGAGAA